CAACACCTATCAAATAATATTATTATTTAGTTAGCTGAAGACAGTTATCAGTATCTCTTTGAGAAAATTCCTCTCAATTATACCAAGTTTGATTGTTCTGTAATTTTTTCCCAAATCTTAGTACCTATGTACCTACTTTCTCAATGTGTAATTTTAACTAGTTTTTGGTAGATTTTTATTTTCTTTTATTGTGATTAGTGTTTATTTTTTAGTATATTCTAGCATTTTTAATGAATGATATATTTTTATTTTTGAATCTATATTAATTTCATATAGATACCACAACGATAATCGTTGAGATAACAGCTTTGTTTTTTCAGTAATATCCATTACTAAACAATTCATGCAATTTTTATGCTGGCACTTCACATGGTAAGGGTTATTTGCTATTTGTGTATATTACAGAATTCTCTTTGTCCTTTTCATTCCCTTATAAATCAGTTTAAGAATTTATAGTACTGGCAAATGTACAAATAGCAAATACAAACAGCCATGAAGGCTATAATTAAGAAACAGGTAAGTACGTAACAAAATGTGTGCAATATTTTTTGTTTGTTTGTTAACCGTTTAGTTGATGTTTATATATATATATATATAATTACATTTAAATACTCAGTCATATATTTTTCGGTTCAGCAATTGTACCAACGACTTATTCTCATTGTTACTAAGTGCAGATTATTCATATGAAAGGGAAAACTATTTTTACCAATATAAATGTTACCTGATTGATATGTCATCTGCAACCCTAGATTAACATAGCTACATATTTATAATGTCAGCAGACAGAAGACTTAAAACATTTTTTTATTATAATTATTTTAAATTTTGTGTCACTACTTACTCTTTTAAGTGCTTCATTATACTAGAGACAAGGGGATGGATGTGTATTTAATTAAGACATTAAGACTGATTTATATATTTAATAAAAACTAAACAGAGAAATAGCTTCTTATTAATTGATTTTGTATAACACGTGCTGCTGTTAAAAAATCATTGCCATGGTCTGGATCCATCATTTCATCTGAATTTATGTGTTCCTCCTCATCTGTTATTTCATCATCTTCATCAGCTGAAAAACATATTTAGTCACAAGGCTGTACAATACCTTAAGCATCAACATGCTGCATAGATAACAATCACTGTTATATTCTAGATGGTAATACGAAATAATTCTAAATAAATCTCTTAAATGTAAAATCCATCAATGTTTTGATAAAGATGTTCTTGTATTTTAATAGATATTAAAATCTCACCTGAGTATGTGTTGAAAAATAAATTATACAAAGTACAGCAAGACACAATTATTTTAGCTGACTTTTCTGGACTATAATGCAGGATTCTGTGCTTTAACAAGCATCTAAATCTATTTTTCAATTTACCAAAAGTTTTTTCTATTATATTTCTTGCCTGTTTATGGCAATTATTATACTGCTGCTCTGCAGCAGTTGCTGGTGCTGATAATGGAGTCATCAGCCAGGGCAATAGTGGGTAGCCCTTGTCACCTGGAAAAGAAATTACAATGAGTTTTGGAAAAAAAAATAACTGTAACATGTTATCTCAAGTTAAAATTGATTCCAGTAATCATAATCAAAATTATTTATACAGTTTAGGATTTTACAAGGATTTGTGAATGGCTTAAAGCTATTGCATCAGTTTGTAAATCTACGGTGGGAGACCTTGTTCTCAGAAGAACCAGCAAAAAGATCAGTAAGGGTTTTTCTTCTACCTCTTATATTATTATTATATACCTATACACTTACCTAGAAGCCACTCATTTTCATTTCCCTGGATATAGGCTCTTTCCAAACTTTTGTTTACATTAGATGCTCTCCAAACAGCAGCATCATGTGTTGACCCAGGAAAATTGGGATTAACATTTATTATTCGCCCCTTAGCATTACAAATCTGCAATTGATGAATATAAAGGTAAACATCTAATGAAATTAAAAAAGTAAAGAAAGTATAATAAAATTAAAACTCACTACTTGGCAATTGATGCTGTAAAATCCTTTTCTATTGTAAAATATATTTCCTGGTGCTGTTGGATGTGACAAAGGTGGAGCAATAATACCAATGTGACTGCCATCAACAGCACCAATTGTATTTGGCATGCCGAATATGCTTAAAAATCTAGAAGGAAAATGCTCTGTTAATTTTCACATTATTACATTTTACTAAACATTCAAGTTTATCATTTATTTTTTCTACATAAGTGGGTACTTACTCTGCTTTATTTTCTGCCCTTTCTGCAGGTGTATTTGGAAAAATAATTTTCGAAGGTGTCAGTTTCCTTATAATTAAATTTGCAACTGTGTCCAGGCATCTGCTTACTGATGGTTGGCTTAAAGCCAGATTGTAATCTTGACCCAAGGAAGCTTGATAACTTCCTTGGGCAAAAAAATGAAGTGCACATAATACCTATTAAAAAAATAAAATAAAATGAGTTAGGTACTGCAAATTACAGAAAACCAAGTAAATTTTAATATGTGACAGGTAAGAAGGTTAAGAAATAAAACAGATTTATAATTATAATGACCTTGAGTTGCTTTGGTAAAAAACCCATTTGAAGTTCTTCGCAATCCAGAGCCTCTATTAAATACCTAGCACAATCACGAGGAAGCCTAAAAATCTTTTTAAATTTAGATTCTGGTAACAGGAATGGGTTGGAATTATCCCTCAGCTGTTTGGTGATGATTTTGTCCTCATTTATTCTGTAATTATTTTTAAAGTAAGCACTTATTGGAAAACACGTTGGAAAAGTATATTATGTAAAAAATTTACCTTTAAGCTACCTATAAAAACATCGTAGCCTTTAAATATTTAGCTTAAGTTTTTTATCCAAAACATACGCATTGTTATTATACATAAACTTACCTTTCTAAAGATTCCAAAAGAGCTATAATGACAACGTCGTCGTTCATTTTTACCTAACTTTTTTTATTCAAAATTTGGTTTAGTAAAACAAAATCACGTATTAAAACCACTAAACTATATAAAAAAAATAGGTACTCGGGGCAAACAAAGTTTAATAAATGGATCTTTCCACTTAATATTATCAACGTCGTATTTAACTATTAAATGACCTTTTTTTAAATAACAAAACCCATATCAAACCCTAACAATTAAGTTTAAAACTTAACTATAGCAAAAAAAAAAAACTATAGCAATAATTTACCTAATTATTGGCCCCAAATAATCACATTTAAATTTAGAGAGGACCTCCGTATGTCCTTCTTAAATTTAGTGTGACATTTCTAATTTTAGAGAAAATATGACATTTAGAACACGTTTCAGAATACCATTTAATCATCTAAATCTAAGTTGAATAACTTAGCGACGTCAATTTTAAATTTAGAGATAGTGTGTCATTCCAGAATACCAAATTGAATTTGACAACTCTATATCTAATTTTAGTTAGTTTTAGATATAAGTTGGCACGCCAGAATTGGGCCCATTATGTATTCTTGAATATCTAATGGGTCCCGACTGTTAAAGTAGGTTTGTTCCTTATTAACAGAATTATAGACTACTGGACTTGTTTTTTTCTTTTCAGTTTTTATTTGAAGAATAATTAAGCAGTCGGGTTTTTTGATTTTTTAAATTTTTAATTATTATATTATCTTTTTTAAGGGTTTTAGTTTAAGATTCATTGTTTCTGTATATACCTAATATTATTTTAGCGTAAAAAAAAGTAAAGTAGTTGAAATGAAATGAAATGAAAGTTTATTTGCATGAAAAATAGTTTGTTATAGCTGGTAAATAATATAAAAAGTTCCCATGTATTTATTTATTGATTTGAAGTGGTTTTGATAATTATAAAGTATTGTTTGATTTATTACTGTTGAAAATGTATTAATTATATTATTTATGTATCTATGGGATTAAATAAAAACAGTTTGCAGTTTATATAAATAGATATTTAATTATTTGTTTATTCATAACAATTCATTACTTACGTCAATAAATAACATAGTATAACTCCAGACGCCAACATTTGCAAATGTTTTCTTTATAGATAACTATGAACACAATAATGATATACTGTTTTAAACTTCCATGGTCACTAACACTATAGCTATTAACGGGATTGTTAAAATGAACCTTGTAAAAGACGACGTCGGAGGGTAGACCGATATGTCTGCCAATAACATCTACCCGCAATTACTTCAGTTACGCCGTGATCATGGCGCTTGCAACAGTGCCGAAATATCGAAGACTCGTAAAAAATAAGGTACATGGTAACAATCCCGTTAATAGCTTTAACACAATAATGGTCGTTCACATAGCTTATTTAATGTTTTACTACCTAACAACGTAATTAATATAAAAGTTTAAGTCTTTCAAAGAGCGTAGTGTGTGTGTAGTACTTATGTAATATTTTTACATTAATTTTATTAATTTATAAGAAGAAGTCAAGAATACATACATATATTCAAAGGGAAATCGTGCGTCTGAAATATAATATGTGTGGAGATCATTCGTTTCTGGCAACACCTATATGAAACAAGTGTGACCAGCATAAATAGACCATAAGTACATTGCATCTTCTTAATATGTAATTGGACCCCAAGTAACACCATGTTTTAAAGACATTTTTTTTTCTAAAGAAAGTGTTCTCATGCTTTCTTTACTTAACGTAATTATTTCTTACTTATTATAAGGCTTTTAATATTATTAAGAATGCTTATTTAAAAAGAAACACTGGAAGAGTCTCTGCGGAAAGAGAATGGGATTTAGATTGGAGGGCGCTGTAGTGCTTTTCTACCGTATTTGTAAGGTTTTACCCCTTTTAGACATGATTAAATACAAAAAAACCGCAAGAAATCACAACAACAAACAAATCCGTATCAATACAAAACTTTGACGTTTTACAGATTGCTGGGTTTGATTGCCAAATAAAAATCTTAATGTTAAGAAAATATAACTAGAAAAAATTCCACGCAAACCAGGCAGCAGACGGGACTCGAACCCGGTCCATTCGCAATCCGGGCGAATGTACTGACCAATTATGCTACCGCGGCCCTCACGGACCGTGTCGAAATTCTTCTAGCCATTCTTAAGCTGCAAGGCAGCGCCATCTCTTCGCATTATAGGTAACCCACAATTGGTCAGTGCATTTGCCCGGATTGCGAAGGATGAGGGTTCGAGTCCCATCTGCTGCCTGGTCCGAGTGGAATTTTTTCTAGTTATATTTTCTTTAGATTTAAACATCAAGCAGTTACATGCTTTAAAATAATAAACATTATAACTATCTTAATGTTAGTTCCGTTTTTCGCCACGTTCCACGCCATTCTTTTTTCGCACAGACTCTACCAACCAGTTTGGATTCAAAGCATCACATCGGGATCGTATCGAATTTTTTCAAGTATTTCATAAGCTATAATGTAGTTAATTTTTCATATGGATAAACAATACATATGTTGATTTAACCTTTATCTAGTAAAAAAAAACTTGACATAAAAAAATCTAGTACTCATTCTTAAATAAAATAAATAGAACTTGTTATTCATACCGAATACACTTAAATGTATTTCAAACTAGCCAATTAACCTATTTACAGAAACCCTTAAGTGTGCACTTCAGTTCGAAACTAGCACATCAGACGGCGATCAATAAAAATCTTAACTCGATGCCGAGACTGTGACGACAACTCGATAAGGTCAATGGATATACTGACGTCATCGTTCTTTGTATCAGAAATATTTACTAACTAGCTGTGCCCTGCGGTTAGGGATGAAACGATACCATCTAGGTATCGATACTTTTACTCGATACTGTATCGGTCATAAAGTATCGTCGACGACCGACGAGCGGCTCGAATCGTCGACGACCAGGACCTTTCCGATCAGCTTGATCCTTTGGCTTTGCGTAGGGATGTAGCTTCGCTCTGCATCTTTTATCGCATTTATCACGGGGAGTGTTCTGAGGCATTGTTCGGATTAATTCCAGCTGCTGCATTTCGCCATCGTACATCGCGACAAAAATTTCATCCCCATCATCTTGATGCGTGGTTATCCATAACCGTGCGTTTTTGTCGAAATTTTTTACCACGTACTACAAACTGTGGAATATGTTGTCGCCAGCAGTGTTTCCGGACCAATACGACCCAAAAACCTTCAAAAAAAAGAGCGTACTCCTTCCTTAAAGGCCAGCATCGCATTTATGATTCTCCTGGTGTTGCAAGTGTCCATGGGCGACGGTGATCACTTACCATCAGGTGAGCCGTCTGCTCGTATGCCCCCAATAACATAAAAAAATAAAAATAATAAAAAAAAATCGTTGCCTACTCGGTATCGAATGAAAAGAATCGATACTTACTTGTATCGATAAATCTTGACGAACGATATTCGGTCACAGTTTTAATTTAACAAAAACAAAAAACGGCTCTCGCCACCCGATGAAAGAATGACTTACTGAATAAATTGGAATAAATATAAATCATACGCAAGGCTGTCAACTGAGCAGTAGAAAAGATGCGTTCGCGAAACAAAAAGTCCAACTAGAGACCGTACCATAGAGTAAATTATCTTTCAATGAGTTTTTTGATACTTCTCAGTGAGTGACCGACCGAGTACTCAGTTCTAAAGTATCGATGCCAAAAGTACTTGGTATCGAAAGAAAAGTATCGAGTAGTTACTTGTATTTACTCGTATCGTTTCATCCCTACCGGCGGTGTTACCCGTGGTTTATTAGGGATATTTTCCCGCAGTAAAACGTAGCCTATGTGTCAATCCAGGGTACCAGCTAACTCCATACCAAATTTAACTCTCGAACTCGCCCGTAATTTTGAACTCTCGAACAATGTATACAACCTCCGTAAATGCATTTTTTGACTAATGTGTTAAAAAGGTACGGTGTAAACTTATGCATAAGAATTACAATAACTAGATTTGAATGAAAAGAAAATTTTACAAGAAAAATATTCACGCGGACCAGGCAGCAGACGGGACTCGAACTCGCACCCTTCGCAATCCGGGCGAATGCTAACGAGCTCCCGTCTGCTGTCTGGTCCACGTGGATTTTTTTCTAGCAAAATTCTCTTTAGATTTAAACAATTTGCAAATAAAAATATAGACTAGATTTGGTGAAAATTGGTAGGATATTTTTTTTTGCAATAAAATTATTTGATCCGTTGACAATCTAATGAAAATTCCGATTTTTTTTTCGCATTTGTGCCGAATTGGTTTTTGCCTATAAAATTACAGTCCATAAATTATTATTATGTCAGTTATTTTCGATGAGTCGTCATAACCCTGTAGTTAATTAATTTAGATAAATTCATCGGTAAGATTTTATAAAACAAATCCATTATTATCTAGTCCGCCTTGTTCTACCGAGTCGGTAGTGAAGTTCGAACGAGGTTCCACTTGTGATTTCAGCGCTGGTTTCCACTTAGGAGTTGCTGTGAACAGTTCCTTACCACGCTGTGAAAACAAAAACAAAAGAACAATTACTCAATCCAACCTTGATACCGAACTTCAGGGGTTTTTGGCGGGATTTCATCGAGTGTGGTTGGCGTCTTATTTTAATTATTCTTAAATTCGTTCATAGTGGATATTGCGAAATAAAATTGGTGTGATTTTGTGTTACAACTGTCTGCGTAACTGAAGAATTAGTAGAATCGTCAAAATATACGCTATTCCGGTCAAGTGGACGTGAGAATTTTATTGTAGTATTGACTACCTCACAGAAGCTTATCGAAAAAGCCAGCTCGATACATTTCGTGCCAAACACTTCAAGAAACATTAGAATGCGTCACACCGACATTCTAATGTAAAAAGAAAAACAGAATAATTTAACTTAACACTAGGCTGTATGGACATTGTTCCCCTTGCCTTCCCAGAAAAGGGAGAATTTAACAAAAAAAAAATACCTAACTTCAGTGCTATTCAGTAGGATCAGAGTCACTTTTCACGGCGGAATTCGCGGGTGTGATTTGAAATTTATTTGACACTAGCTGTGCCCTGCGGTGTTATCCGTGGTTTATTAAGGACTAGTGGCTCGCCCTCGCTTTGCTTTGGTGTAAAGCTGTAGTGTAGACTATAGTTTTAGTTCTAAGGCTTGTATTAAACATCATGACTTTCTTCATAATAATTATAAACCTTCCATTCCATGTAAAAAATTCGCTGCGTAGTTTAGGACCCGTTGTACCGAATGCAACATTGCTCCGCTGTTCCGATTTCAAAAAATATTTTTGTATTGCACAATGCATTTATCGAGGAAGGCTATAGGCTATATATTACCAGGGGGCCATTCGCCTAACGGAAATGCTTTGGGAAATGCTAACGCTTTCGATTTTATTTTGTTACAATCACAAAGAAAAAACTTAGGTTGGATGTTGAATTATTTTTGGTGAACATTTACCATTTTTGAAAAATATAAGTGCATAAGCGAATACTTACATATCCTGCGTATATTGCCCAACATACACCAACCGGGAATAGTATGAGTGTGGACAGACCGACCAACCAGCCCAGCATGTCGGCGAACCAAGGAAACTTGTAGTCCCCGTACGAAGGCGACTCCCAAGACGTAAATATGAATATCAGTATACTCTGAAAACGGGAATCTTGTTAAGAGCGGAGGCGAGCTGAGAGACATTTTTTTTCCAACACACACCAGTTAGCCTAGCCCCAAAGTAAGCATAAGCACTCTAATGGTAAAACTAGTTTTTACGGGTTAATGCACGAAACTTTCTTTATTTATTGACGTTTCGTAGCCTAATTTTGTCGAGCTACCTTCGAAAGACTTTTATTGAGCGTTCGGTTATTTCATTGTTCGATTATAAAAAAAATTATTGTCTATCTATGAATTTATTACTTAATTTAGTTAATAAAGTACTTTATTTAAAATTCTTTTTGTAATTTTGAGTTTATTTATTTGACCCTAACTACCGTAAACTACCACCGGTTCCAAAATTGGGAGACCTTCCTGAGAAGAACCGGCGAAACAAACTCAAGAGAGGCTTTCTATCTCCTTCTTATGTTAAATTATGCAAAAAAAAAAGTAATAGTATCTGTTGGTCTAAATTAAATAAAATTTGATTCTGACGACGTAGCCTGTAAAGGCTACGAAACGTCAATAAATAAATAAAGTTTCGTGCATTAACCCGTAAAAACTAGTTTTATTTAATGAGTGATGTGCGTGAAAACCTAAGAAACAAATACTCTAATGGTAGCCATACACACTACAAGAAATCGTTACGATTAGACTGTACGGTACCGATAAATCGTAGCGTGTATGTTATAAAACTGCACAGTTTTCTATACGTACGCCACGTACGATAAACTGTTCCGTTCGAACTGTACAGTCTGATCGTAACGATTTCTCGTAGTGTGTATGGCTACCATTAGGCTTGTGTTTTGGGATACTAGGGTAACGGATAGAATACATATAATGTACATATATAAGTATATTTTTATAGAAATACATATTAAACATCCATGACTGGAGTACAAATGCTCGTATTCATCACACAAACATCTGCCCCCACCGGGATTTGAACCCGGGACCTCTCGAGTCGGCGACACCATGAAACCCGGCGTACAAACCACTCGGCCACGGAGGTCGTCAAATTTGAGAAATAGGTATTTGAAAAATTATTCCTGTTACGCATTGGCAAATACCGAGCGATAGGGACAACAGTAGCACGGTAATAATAGTCAACAGCCAAACTTCGAATTTTGATTTTTTTTTCGCAATTTTCAGCGTTAACTACTGTCACGGTAATATTATCAATCAAATATTACCGTGACAGTAGTTAACGTGATAATATTACCCTGACAGTAGTTAACGCTGAAATATGCGAATAAAAATTTCAAAATTCGAAATTTGGCTGTTCACAATGTCCTCCTCGAAAGTAAGATATATGTAAAAGAAATTTGACACAAAAAATAATTAGTAGTTATACTATGCCTCTATGTTTAGATGTTTTTGTAAATGCTTATAAGGACATTGTTCTGCGTCCATACATTGTTAGCCTAAGAACCAACAATCATGAAATATTATTTTCTAGGTTCGAAATTGCAAGTAAATGACTGTAAAAACAAAGGTTATTGACGGACACTTCTGAGAACTTAAATTATCAGGAAAACTAAATGTTTTTTGAGGTTATGTTTAATATTAAATGAAACATAGGTCAACCTATGAACTTAGTATGAACTCAGTATGAATTGAATTAATATTATGAAACGAGAATGCACGAATGCCACAGATTACTACGAATGCAAACTGCCTGCACCACAACCACAGAGTATCGAGTTTTATGCCGGCCCTTCACTTGACAACAGTCTGTCCTTGTCATGCTTAATATGGAATAAAGAGGACAGACTGATGTCTTCAAAAAGCAAACTCGTATAGCCAAGTGAAGTGCCGGCATTAGGAAGAAAGAGTGTTTTGTTTGCAGCGCTGTCATAGATTATAAACATAAAATGGTAGTCTCAGATTATTTTTTATCTCTTTAATATAGCTTACTTAACTGGAAGTGTCCGTCACAATCTAAATACTGATAATTATCGCAAAAAATATACTAAGAATTATCATAAATGCCAAATTGGTGTTGGTTCTTAGGCCAAATTTAAGATTGTCCTTTCCACACAAGACTTCTTTCGTGGTGATAAAAATTTGTTTATTTTTCGTCTTTTTGGGAGCTTCTAGTTTCTTTGAAACACAAGTTATCGAAAAAAGGAAGACATAGGAGCATAGAATGAGAAAAAAACATGAAAATCAATACAATTCTTTAGTGATAAAAATCAAGAGGGATTAAGTCAATAACGTTTGTATGGAACAAACATTGCGCGCCTCCCCTCTCAACAGTAAGGAAGAAAAACAGATAAAAAAGTAAAAAGTAACAGATCGCGTGAGAAAAAAGATAATTGAATTGATGCTGTATACTAGTTTTGTAACGAATGTAATTTTTTGAACATTCGTGAATGCTAATGCGGTTGCGAATATCTGGTACCGACATTCGCGAATGCGAATGCGAATATTTGTTCAAAATTGGCGCCAATTGTCTATGGCATGGTGGCAGTCTCGTTCGAATTGCCGAGTTGATATGAACTCATCCGACTGAAGTGTCATTCCGCTCGCGCCGGTCTTTTCGTAAACAAAACAAGTGAATTTTGAGGTTACAGTTTGAATAGTGATTAATTAACATGAGTAAATCAAATTCTAGTGAAATATGGACTTAATTTACACTTTGCGATGCTGAACGAGCTAAATGCAAGCTGTGTAACAATGAATATTCAAAGAAAGGAAGAACTACAACTTCTTCAAATTGTTTTTTTTTATATTTATATTCGCAAAACATTCGCAGAGATTTTGATTTTGCCGCCCGTGACGTCGTCCGCGTTGACTTAAGTTTTTTTAAAATTCCACAGGAACATAACGTTTTCCGGGATAAAAAGTATCCTATGTATCCAGGTCAAACTAAATGCGTACCAATTTCATTCAAATTCGTTCAGTACTTTTTGCGTGGTAGATTAACAAATACAAACTATCATATTTCGTAACAGTACCTATGAGTTTTGTTATGTTAGCAAATGTTTTCCCTCAGAATGTTTGTAAAAAATTAATTATCTTTTCCTACTGGAGACATTTCATATGATAAAAACAAATTTTCGGTGTCACCAAAATACTATAAGTATTACCTTTACAAACATCATGAAAATTTGTATTTCAAAAAAAATACTATTACAAATTTGACAAACTTTGAATATAGTCTAAGTGCGGCTGCACCTCATTTAAGTTTGATGCTGTCTGTCACTTTGGTAAAATAAGATAGCTCGTCTCACTTTGAAATAAATAAATAAATAAAAATTTCCAACACTCACACCAATTAGCCTAGCCCGAAAGTAAGCACTATAAGGCTTGTGTTATGGGATACTAGGCTAATGGATAGAATACATATACTGTACATATTTAAGTATATTTATATAGAAAATACGTATTAAACATCCATGACTGGAGTACAAATGCTCGTATTCATCACACAAACATCTGCCCCTACCGGGATTTGAACCCAGGAGCTCTCGAGTCAGCGACACCATGAAACCCGGCGTACAAACCACTCAGCCAAAAATATTCAATTGAATCTTAATGCTCTGGCCCGTTGTAAAAATCAACTAAAAAAACTTTTAGCAAGACATTAGACTTAAAGATAAAAAAGGTACCATAAGGAAAAATATGATATTTGCACTCACAATACTGCCCACGGGAACGAAGACCGTCCACACCGATTTCCAGTAGAAGCTCAGTACCGGATGGAATTTCATCTTCATTAATGCAAGATCTTCCATCGCCCGGTTGATACCATAACTCCACGACACGGCCGTACACTATATGATAGTAAAATATCTAAAATATTATATCAAATATATATATATTATTATATAACTAGGTAGGCAAATGACTCTACCCCACCTGATGTTAAGTGGTGATAAAGTTGGTGTAGCAGTTATAAACTGCTACACCAACCATCCTCACCTTGCCAGCCCGCCAAAATGCTTCTTCACGCCTCTCTTAAAGGACCCCAGATTATAGGAAGGGAACACGTGCGCAAGAATTACGAATAGTACGACAAAGAAATGATTCGCCAAATTTCTTTGTTCGTGTAGGAATAGTGGCCACAGTAAGTCGGTGGCAACGTAGGCCAGCGCGCGTGGTCCTCTGAAGAAAAGGTGATGGAGGGATAAGCGAGAATAGCTCCTCAGAACACTCGCCGTGGTATAGTCGGTAGAATGCGCTTAATGATGCCATATCACGGCGTAATTGTAGAGACTCGAGTTTCTTAGATACCTCTTCATCGCCAATGATGCGGACATCCAGGGCATTGAGTAAGTACTTAGCGAAGCCATCCCAGAGGTGCGAGCAATATTCCACGCAGGACCGCACTTGCGTTTTGTACAACAAGCACAGTTGATATTTTTTTTCATCATCATCATCAACCTATTAATGTCCTCATTGCTGCGGCACAGACATTCCCTACGGATGGAATAGGTATATATGGTCGTGACCCACCACGCAGGCCCAATGTAGAATGGTGGGTGCTAATGACTGCAGATGCAGCCGGGATCAATAGCCTGAGGTACGAGTATCTTCCGAAGCACAAAGTAGCTGGAAATACAACATTTTTGGCTACCCGTTCGATGACCGGCTATTGCCAAAGTTATTGAGTTTCCAGGATCGCAGATAGAATACGCTATCTACTTGCGCCATCAAGCTTCTCATAATTATTGTCAGGTTTTGATTTCTTCCATTTTTTCTATCGTATAAGTAACGTTTCATCATCATCAGCCTATTAATGTCCCCACTGTTGGGGCACAGGCCTTCCCTATGGATGGAATAGGGAGATTGGGCCATGACCCACCACGCGGGCCCAGTGCGGATTGGTGGGTGCTAACGACTGCAGATGCAGCCGGGACCAACGGCTTAACGTGCCTTCCGAAGCACGGAGGAGCTCGAGATAGTAATTTTTGGTCACCCATCCAATAACCGACCACTGCGAAAGTTGCTAAACTTCAACGATCGCAGCCGAACGCGCTAACCACTTGCGCCATCAAGCTCCTCGAGTAAGTAACGTTTACTGTTCCATAATTTATTATCTTTCATGAGTAGGTATATCGTCGCTGAATATCCAAAAAGATTGAAGTTTTACCTCAGCCATGCCTATCAGAAGTATAGCCCATGTAGCTGTGTTCCAATCCAATATCGTGAACAGGTATACTCCTCCGCTGAAGCACATCGGCAGTCCAAGAATGAAGCAGGTGAAACATGTGCCAGCAGTCACCTAGAAAAAAATATCAGTTACCTAGAAGTATTAGATTTTTTCGATGAAAATGGGAAAATGCATTATTTTACGACAATATCACGCCTTGTAAACGAATTTGCAAACAAACCATTTACCTAACGCGATCCTGGATAACAACATGAGTTCTTTGGTAAATCATAGGTTATCTGTGTACCACGTTGACTAGTTCAATAAAATATATATTTATTTTCCATCACAACAGAGATTCATAGTTAGTCTTGTATAGCAATTACAGTGTTGTGGCTCCTCTATTTGTGATGAGCTGGTGCCTGAAATAGGTTTCAGCAATAGAAACCTGTGCTACAGGTCACCAGGCCCAATCACAGATAGCAAGACTTCCACGGATGGTACAATACCTTGGACAGTTGAAATGTATATATACATTGTTGTTTCAATAGCATTGAATAGAAGAAAACAAATAAATAATAACAAAAATCAAAGAAAAGCTATTCTATCTAGTTATCCAACTGGATCGCAACTACAGAACACAAAAAGAGATTACTAGGGTGCTTATAGATCGTTTGTACGGGAATCGATGTCGCTGGCTCGCCCCCACTACACTTACAGCTAATAGATAATAGCCAATCAAACGACGCGATGTCAAACAATCGAGCCAATCAGAGCTAACACCTGAGAGCAACGACGCAATCGAAACCGAGTTTTGGTCAAGTTATGAAGCTCACAAATAACAGTGGCGCGCCTGCCCCGCCTACGGAGGTCCATTCTAACCTCTTTCTGTGTTCTGTGATCGCAGCAATGGCCTAAAAGGTTTTTTTTTATAGATAGGTCCGACAAATGACTCCACCCCACCTGATGTTAAGTGAAGGTGAAATCCAGACGCGAAGATAGCTGATACAGCAGTTCTACCTGCCACACCAGCCATCCTCACCCTGCCAGCCTGCATGTTGCTTCTTCACGCCTCTTTTAAAAGATCCCAGGTTGTAAGAGGGAGCGAAAACGTGAGCGGGCAGAGCATTCCATTTACAGAAAATTTAAAGAAATGAGTCTCCAAATTTCTTTGTACGTGTTGGAATAGGATAGTCAGCCGTCCTCCAGTGCTTCTCAGAAAAGCTTTTTAAACAATTCCTCCATTTCTACTTCCATTAATTAGCCTGTTACCTCTGACCTCTCATGAATTATATTCATCGAGAATTCAGTTTCTTTTTAAAATTATTGTCTTTTGGAAAACGGGAAAAAATATCATTTATTTTAGACAAGCACGGATAAATTAATAATTTTGAAACATTTTCATTGTTCATTGATATTCGACGGAGATATTTACCATCCAATACCTCTTCCGTAGTTTTGGCCATTTGTCTACAATGGCTGTGTTGATCGCTTCAATGCCAGCAAACTGGCAGCCGAGACCGAGTATGAAAAGCATGAAGAAGAACAGAATGGCCCACAGCTGGGGTACTGGCATTTGAAGAAGCGCTTCCGGGTACGCAACGAACGCTAAACCTGGTCCAGATTCTGCGACGTCTGTTGGAGGAAAAGTCAAAATGTTTATAGACGTTAAAGTCGGGTATTATAAAATTCCAAGGTATAACGCGCTAATCTGTGGTCTTGTACCAAAGAGCGGCCTTTGCGTTCCTCGTTCGTGATTGGTGGGTACGAATCTGCCGCTTGAACCACGTGACCGTGACGTGACGAGAAAAAAGACAAGAGATTGCGATACTGACTAGCGGTTGAAATGAAATTGCTCTCAACAATTTTGTTCATTTTTACTAATTGTAACCCGAGTTTTATAAAATAAAACTGTTTAATACAACGAAGAGTGTATTATAAAGGTTAATAAATATACTTAATTTATGATTCTGAACACGCTGAAGGGTGACAAGCTAAGAAAAAGGAACTGCCAACGTAGTAGCATTTATATGAAAAATTATAGAATATGGATGGTGATCAATTTTTCTCTTCTATCTCTATCAGGTAGATTTACCAAAAAGTATTAATAATAATAATATTATAATCATTTATTTTCGGATAACAAGGATCCATAGTGGGTTAGTAACAAATAGATTATACTTAAAAACTAATGTTAGTAAATAAACACAGGTGGTTTGATGTCACCCTACGATGCCCCCGCCTATACGACTGCATGCAGTCGTATCCAGCGAGCTAGCATCGGAGAGTCCCACCGTTCTACCAGCGCCCTCAGGATGGTGTTGGGGCTGCCGCGCACTCGCCCAAGTAGCGAGGCGCAGCGCATATTAGTGTAACGAATGCGATCGGGCTTAAATATCATGATTTCAATTTTACTTGCGTTGTACTTGAGCCCCTGTGCTGTTACATATGACTGGCAAACACTTATTAATCGCTTCAACGCGCCGACTGATGGACTCAACAGTACCATATCATCTGCGTAGTTGATATTATTAATACATTTGCCGGTACGTGACAACCGATACCTGTACTGCCAAGTTCATCAAGCAGCTTGTTCATGTACAAATTGAACAACGTTGGCGAGCTTAATCCTCCCTGTCTCACACCGCACTCCAGTCTATACTCATCGGAGAGAACACAAGACCATCTTACATTATTTTTTTGGTTACTATACCAGTGCTTAAAGAGAGATACAATTTCCTCTGGGGTGTCAGTTTCTGATTTCATTTTATTCCAAAGAATGTCATAGGATACAAGGTCAAAAGCTTTAGATAAGTCAAGGTAGCAAGCATACACTGGTGTTTTTCTTGCATTGTAGTAATGGACTGTCTGCTTGAGACACAAGATGGCACTCTCAGTGGAAAGGCCAGGTCTGAAGCCAAATTGCGAGTCATTAAGCGATATATGTTCCTCCAGGCGCCTAGCAAGCAGACCGTCCAGTACCTTCGCAATCACAGTAGCCAAGGAGATAGGTCTATTAGACACATATTTTTTCTTTTATCATCAGGAGAACAATCGCTGTAGAAACTAGTGTCCCAGAAATATGGACGAAATAAGTGAGGCGCTGCGATCGCTAAGTTGTCTCAATAAAAGCGGGCTGTTGTGCGATAATTTGAAATGACCAATGCCGCGAAGAAATATTTTACATAATTCAACTAACTTCATCTACTTGTACTCATAAACAGCTAACTTCACAGATACTACTTACCGACGACAGCGCTGCTGGTGGCTGAAAAATGAACTATAAATTCTACAAATTTTCAGGGACAGCAGGGAATGCTATAGCACGTATATAGCGATCGTTCTCCTTTTCTCTGACCACCATGATCAAAACATTACAGGCATAATATATTGATTTGAAATGCCACGTGATTAAATCTAAAGAAAAGTTTACTAGAAAAACATCCACGCGGACCAGGCAGCGGACGGGACTTGAACCCGCACCCTTCGCAATCCGGGCGAATGCACTGACCATTATGCTACCACGGCCCTATTCGCCGCGTCGAAATCTTCCTAGCCTTAAGCTGCAAGGCAGCGCTGGCAGGCTGGTCCGCGTGGATATTTTTCTAGTAATTATTTTTTAGATTTAAACATTTAGCAGTTAAAATAAATAAAACATGTCACGTGATGTTACGTTATGGTACAATTTTTACTTCTAGAAGTGACGTCACGAGCTCCCACTACCAAACTTTGGCGCGCTTCATCTTTGTAATTTATTGGAAGATTAACAAAACAAAAAGAGTCTATTATTATCTGATAATTTAACTGTCGGGCTAAATAGAAATGCGTGTACTTTTCCCTGTCATCATCCATATTGCCATTTTGCGGCGGTAACGACAGCGTAAAAATAAATGATGCTGCTGACGGTGCTACTCCGTATTGATACGAGCAGGAACGATATGTGTTTGTTTGAGTTTTGCTGCAGAAATAATGGATTGATTGAACAATAAATAGTAGATTAAGCCACCAAGGGGATAAAGCAGTGTATTGTGATATGAATGAAACAGGCAGCATATTGAATTCTGAACGAATTGAAAGTTCGTTCGGGAATTATTTAAGTCTGCCCAAGACTTAGACACGTTTATCCCCGAAGAGCATACTCTACTTTATATACTACTGTTACTCTAGGTTAAATAAAAAAGAAATTGTAAATTCAATGAAAATTAAGTGCATTAAAGAAAGAAATAAATGTTTCGTTAGAAACATAAGTCCAGTAATGGAAACTTGATGTGATAAATGTTTAGTGTACATAAAAAGAAGATTCAGGAACTGATTTTAGTTTTTAAGTATTTTTAGTAGTTTACAAATATCAATGTCTACCCTCGGATCTGGGTGGTGATGGGTAAAATATAATGTTATATTTGTTTATAGTAAGCGTAAGCTCTCAAGTTAAACACCAAAAGTTCAATTACATACAATGAATGCATTCGTTCGTTTTTTTTATCGTAATGATTATACAAGATATATTTGATTTAGATATATTTGTACAAGATTTTATCTAGTTTGATATTGCGGTCATAGACTTGTTAGCAAACTCAAAAAAATATCTAAAACTGATCGAAACCATTCGTAAAAGAAATTACTTCGCAGTTAAAAACCGTTAAATTAAGTGAGCCAAATTTTAAAATAACGTATGAGTAAACGAGTTTTATTGTTGATAATCAAATGATGATAAGAAATAATCACAAACATAGAAATTTAATTACAAAAATAGTGTTGCCAGACAGACGATTCTGAATACCCGTAAAGTACTACTCGCTTCCATCACGCACGTGTTCGAAAATAATAAAAGTCATTATCATCAGCTTAGCTTTTTCCCCGAATTGTTCGGGGTCGGCTACCTAAGCCAGGCCAGGAGAAACGAAAATAAATAGGTAACTTGTGTGTGCACGAAAATATAAAAAAAACAAGTAAAACAGAAACTGACAGCAGCAATTTCGATGAAACAAAAACATTAGAAGCATACGCTACATAATTTACTGCTTCATTAATTATTAGATAAAAAAACGTGTTCTTTTTATCAGTCAGTGATACCGGACGATGTAATAACACAGTACTAGCGTTATATATCAGGCAATATCAGCTATAATTACCTTCTATCAACTCATAATGCTCACCTGATGTTTGAATAGTTTTTGGTTTTATCATTATTTGCGATTTAATAGACTTATAAGTCATTTGGTTTATTTGTTATAAAGAATTGAAAATGTACTGATACAGAATTGGATATTAAAGGGGTTGCCTATTGTGGTTTGCGACGACTTCGTGCTCTTTGTTTTACCATAATTTTGCATGTACTTTAGTGCGTGAGAAATATTGAACGTGCCAGCTGCATAGATTTACGAGGAGAAATGAGATCACAATCAAATGATAAAGTTTATGTGGAAATCTTGATAGTGCCAAAAGGCGTTATGTTGAAACCATGATTATTTTTTCTTAATTTTAAGTGGTTTTATATTTTTATGAAGGTTTATTTTCGTTAAATCTTTTATTTCATTACTAGCGGGCCCGCTCTCGCTTCGCTTCGGTGGAGAGGTGAAGTGTAGACTACAGTTTTTGTTCTCAGGTTTGTATTATACACAATAACATTCATCTATGATTCTTCTTATACCTGCATGCAAAGTCTCAGCCCGATCGCCGATTCAATTTAAAATTGACAAAGTTTCATACAAACTTTCATTCCCTATTTTATCCCCTTGGGGGTAGAATTGATCAAAATCCTTTCTTAGCGGATGCCTACGTCATAACATCTACCTGCATGCCAAATTTCAGCCCGATCCGTCCAGTAGTTTGGGCTGTACGTTGATAGATCACTATGTCAGACAGTCAGTCAACTTTGAGTTTTATATATATAGATGAAGCAATTGTTTTCTCTATTCTCGTTTAATTGTTGCTTAGTTGTTGTTTTAATCTATACTTATAATAAATCTGTAGAGAGGTCAATTCTGTACATGAAATATATTTTCAAAATAACTATCAGGGGGTGATAAGTGATCGATACTGATGCCAAAAATGCAATCAGTAAAATTTTTGTCTGTCTGTCTGTCTGTCTGTGTGTTTGTTCCTTATAGAAACAAAAACTACTCGACGGATTTTAACGAAACTTGGTACAATTATTCTTCATACTCCTGGGCAGGTTATAGTATACTTTTCATCACGCTACAATCAATAGGAGCAGAGTAGTGAAGGGAAATGTTGGGAAAACGGGAGAAGTTACTCCATTTTTTAAGCTTCCGTCGCGTGTGGAGCCTTAATGGTTAAAGTTACATAGAAATCATGTATGACGGAAATATTCTACATAAAATTGTCTAAAAAATATCCCGCAACAGCATATATCTATCTTTTATGGTTGACTCACAATAACACGTGTAACTCCTGATAGCTTAGCAGTTCGGAGCATTCTGATTATATTTGTTTACTCTTACGTTTATAATACTCTCACTCATCCCTAATTTAAAAAAGTTAACATTATTACCTATTCAATAAAAATAGAATCATAGAAATCGGTATAGAAACACCAAACTTATACATGAAATAAGCCATCGCGCCGTCGCACGTGAATACTGAATCATGCTTTAAGGATTATTTTTGTGTAACGGCTGCCGCGCTCGACACGGGTCGTGGCGGCGTGGTAAGGTATAAAAAGGCGGGAGGTCCGAAAGCGAGCTTCCCCGCCCCCCCGATCCTGAGAGACCTTCAGCCACTCAGTCCCAAACCGATGCGGATGCACATCAGGGTGCATCCGTCCTCTAAGCGCACTAGCAGTAGTATTTACTAAGGCAGCGCTGCATCATCCCCTTCTCAGGGGTTGATCGCATCAGATGAAGCCTGTAAGGCCCCTAAGGCCATAGGCACCCCCCACGGGTGTGTTTTAGTCAGTAAGAGTCTGACATAACTCTACAGCCGGCTGTAGGGTATCCATGAGGATTTCACACCCCCTCCCCCGCCTGGGAAGAAACAAAAAAAAAAGAAAGCGAGCTTCATTCAATATTTGGCTGTCGATGCGTTCAGAGCGTTCGACCTTATTGACAGAAAATAATTGATATTGAGAAACCGTGCTTATCTATACTTATAATAAATCTGTAGAGATGTCAATTCTGTACATGAAATATATTTTTAAAATAACTATCAGGGGGTGATTAGTGATCGATACTGATGCCAAAAATGCAATCAATAAAATTTTTGTCTGTCTGTCTGTCTGTGTGTATGTTCCTTATAGAAACAACAAAGTACTCGACGGATTTTAACGAAACTTGGTACAATTATTCTTCATACTCCTGGGCAGGTTATAGTATACTTTTCATCACGCTACAATCAGTAGGAGCAGAGAAGTGAAGGGAAATGTTGGGAAAACGGGAGAAGTTACTCCATTTTTTAAGCTTCCGTCGCGTGTGCAGCCTTAATGATTAAAGTTACATAGAAATCATGTATGACGGAAATATTCTACATAAAATTGTCTAAAAAATATCCCGCAACAGCATATGTCTATCTTTTATGGTTGACTCACAATAACACGTGTAACTCCCGATAGCTTAGCAGTTCGGAGCATTCTGATCATATTTGTTTACTCTTACGTTTATAATACTCGGTATAGAAACACCAAACTTATACATGAAATAAGCCATCGCGCCGTCGCACGTGAATACTGAATCATGCTATAAGGATTATTTTTGTGTAATGGTTGCCGCGTTCGACACGGGTCGCGGCAGCGGTAGGGTATCAAAGGTCCGAGAGCGAGCTGTCTAAATCTGTTTTCTGCGTCGCTCCCCCCCTGGGGGACGATCGCTTCCGATGAAGCCTTAGAGGCCTTCCCGGCCAGAGGCAGCCCCTACGGGTGTTTTTTAGTCAGTACGAGTCTGACATAACCTTGCAGCCGGCTGTAGGGTATCCATGAGGATTTCTCATCTGCTCCCCCGCCTGGGAGACCGAAACCGTGCTTATCAGCGCGACTTTTAGTCTTTAAATAGTTTATTTGAATTTCTTTTGTTGTTATTTTGTAAAACAGGTATTAGTTGTTTTGGTAGTGTTTAAATATTCGTTCAAATTAAAAATTATTAAGCGTAGGTACTTTTATTAATTAAAGTAGTTATAAGTATTTATTTTTAAGTGAAGGAGGTATAGGTAGATAGTATTGCACAGGCGTTTCAGCTTTATTTTCATTTCTTTTTTGTTGTGAGTTGTATATATTTCTGGTTATAATTCTATAAGAATATTTTAGTTCAAATAGTCACTTAGATTTTATGTGTAAGGTAGCTAAAGTATTCGTTAAAAATATTCGTTCAAAGTGTAATTAAATCATATAGGATGAATGTACGATGGCCCATCGAAAAGCAGTAGAAGCGGTAGACAGAACTTTAAGAGATATAAGACAAAATGATCGACCCATGGGCGGTATCACAGTTTTATTTTGTGGTGATTTCCGACAAACCTTAACGGTAATACCACGGGGAACCCGAGCTGCTGAGGTTAGGGCTTGCCTGAAAAGCTCTTATTTGTGGCGTGATATACAATCGGTGCATTTGACTATAAACATGCGAGTGAGAACTGTAGATAACCCGGATGATCGTGAATTTTCTGATATATTATTAAAGAAAATACCTTCACCAAAGATACCTATCCACTGCTACACCAAGGAAAACTTATTCTGACGCCTGAGTTATGTTGTATAGTGCAATCCCAACAACATCTTACATCGTCAGTTTACGGTGACGTAACAAATATATTAAATAAGAAGGTCCATTTTAACTCCTCGCAATGACCAGGCATCTGAGATTAATAATAAAATACTGTCGAATATCCAGGGGGAAAGCAAAGTTTATAGTTCAATAAAAAGAATGGCCGATGTACAAGAAGCCACTAATTACCCGATAGAATTTTTAAATTCTTTTAATATGCCCGTACTTCCTTCTCATGAAATTTGTTTAAAAATTGGCATTCCGATTATTCTGCTCCGAAATTTAAGACCACCACAAATTTGCAATGGAACTCGGCTTAAAGTAACCCAGTTGCAACAAAATGTAATCGAGGCTCAAATTTTAATAGGTTGCGGTGCAGGAGAAACCATCTTTATTCCCAGAATTCCCATAATACCAAATAATTTTCCATTCCAATTTAAAAGAACGCAATTCCCAGTATCGGTGTGTTAAGCAATGACAATAAATAAGGCTCAAGGGCAGACCTTTCAGACCAGTAGATCTCGGTGTCAGTTGTTTTTCACATGGTCAGTTATGTCGGTCTTTCCCGGGTTAGCAGTCCTAGAATTTTTTATTTTCACGTTCCGGACGGGTCAAATTTCAACGTAGTCTACCCGGAAGCTTTGCGCTGAAGTATTTTCATTCTTTATGTACTTAAGACTCATGTGAAAGCGATCTAAACAATATTACCAATACATTAACATAATAACATACAAGGAGTTACACGCTGATGGTCTCGGGGCACAGTGATAATAATAATATTCTGCGGTTCCATATTGCGATATTTTTAACAGTATTATATTTCCCTACTAAAATAAGAAAGTTAATCTGTCTGTCACATCAAAACCACGGAACCCTGAGGAAGGACATATGCTACTTTTTTACGAAAAACGACGATAACGCGGATGAAGTCGCGGGCAAAAGCTAGTTTTGAATATATTCAAAGATATCAATCGTATCATGCATTCAAACAAGTTTGGGTTTGTAAAACTGTTTTCGTATTCGCGTATTCGTTTCCGCGTATTTGTACACATCGATCTATCAACAATATTCTCTGCATATTGAAAGTTGGGCAATTCGAGATATGGTGTTTTACAGACCAATATGAGCTGGGTTTTAGAGTGAAGTTTATTGGCAGAGACCAATATGGACAAGGTTTTAGAGAGATGTTTATTGGCAAACTCGGGCGGGTTGCAAACAGTGGCGCGGCGCGGGCGTTAGTTTATTCATCGTTGGTGTACAACGCGTATTATTGTCGGTGTGTGTGCACTCGCGGCAGTTTGCCCCCGACATGGATTAATCAACTCGAATGAACAACTACCCACCGCCCCGGTGAGAGCCACTCCGATTAATAACCCGGCACATGCTCTATTTTGACTGCCGTTTTTGCCATCTCGATAATGTATCATAGTGCAGTATCGTATCGTTGATTTGAGCACTTGTATACCTTGCTCGTACAATCAGTGTGATGGCGCGATAACACTTGGTCGTGAGTCCGAACAGAGTGCCAATGGGATTCGGGTAAACTACGTAAGGCCCGTATTACAGAACAAAATGAGATTTAATTTTAGAACTTTTTTGAAACATAGTGTTGCCGCACACGGGCCATACGCCACAGCCACAAATGCCGCCACGAGAAGCTAGGAGCGGCTCCTAAAGTGGCTGAAGCACGCGACAGCGGCCGACTAAGGTAAGGGAGAGAGGGGTGGGGAATAGCGCAAAGACGTGTGGCGGGATTTTGTATCGGCGCATTAAGGCCGGTGCGGGCCACAAGAAGCGAGCAACGACGATTTGTAGCGTGTGGCGGCCACCGGCGTACCGTGTGTGGCGAGTCCATATAAAATGTATGAAAACTACAAGAAATATGTCGGTGGCGGCGTTTTGTGGTTGTGGTCGGTGACCCCACACATAAACATTGATCAAAACTCAGCCGAGTAATCGCTTATTTAAGAGACAAATTTACGTCAAAATCTACGCTCAAGCAAAGATTTGATTTTTGTTTACTTAAGTATGATCCACACCATTTTTAAGGAGAGATACCGTCTTCCAGCTTGTATTCCAGTGTTAAGTATTACTTAGGGTGGCCGAAATCGAGTACAAGGCATGGAAGCGTTATTGCAATATCTGTTTTTAGTACATTATGTTTGAGAACATCTACGAAGAACTGGAAGATCTTTTGTTATTTTGATATTAAATAAAGTTGATTCAGTACAATAAATAATTATTTTCTGTAATTGATCTACTATTATTTTATGTATCCAGATGAGGAATGCGTCCTAATGTTCTAGTGTGAGTCCATAAAGAAAAACCAGTAGGAAATGCTGCACCTTTTTTTCTCATTTTTCTAATTCTTAGATCTTCACACAGACCTATGGATGATGAATATATATGGTTGTTTTTTATATATTAGAAATAAAAAATCTCACTACTCTTAGAGTCTCTAAGTTAGAGTTTATGTATTGCTGTAAGTGTGCATAATCTATTAAATAAATAGTAAATATTGAGTGGCTGTACAGCTTCCTTACCATCAACGCTGACACCCATCTGCTGAGCCTGGAAACCAAGCACGGCGAATATGGCAAATCCGGCATATATCGAAGTGAGAAAGTTGGTGATGCACACCATGACAGCGTCGAAGTGACAGTTATTGTTGAACTTGTTGTAGGAGGCGAGGGTGATGAGGGACCCACACGCCACTCCGAACGAATAGAATATCTGGAAAATAAGATTTTTTATGTTAAAAGGGTTGCAAACAAGCATATGGCCCGCCTGATGATTAGCGGGCATAACAGATACGTTGATGATACAATCTCACCGATAGAAATATATAAGATAACTCACCGACTGAAACATAAAACACAACCAGAAGATTACTTTTATAAGGCGAAAGTTTAGTTTTTTAAGTCTTTAAATTTTTCTCTAAGAGATTCTCTTGCCTTTAAATTATATATGGCCCGAACAGCTCTCTTTTGCAGTACGAAAATACTTTCTATATTAGCAGCTGAGCCCCACAACAAAAGGCCATATGACATAACGCTATGAAAGTAACCAAAGTAAACGAATCTTGCCGTTTCCACATCAGTTAGGAGTCTCATTTTTTGAACAGCGAAAGCCGCAGAGCTCAGTCTACTTGATAAGGCATCAATATAAGGATCCCATAGTAGATGCGAGTCTAAAGTAATACCCAAAAACTTTGTAGAATCCACTAACTCCACAGGCTGGTCATTTATTTTTTAATTAATATTAACCTGCCTCACATAGGTAGAGTAAACTTAACACGTTTTGTTTTACTAGAGTTTAGTTTTAAATTATTTACCCTAAACCAGTGAAGGACTTCAGAGAGAGCACAATTTACTACGTCACAACAATCATTTCCTCTTCTAGCTTTAAATACTAAAGAGGTGTCATCAGCAAATAGTACTGTCTCACACAAATCTCTTGTAAAGTGAGGAGGGTCATTGATATAAATAAGGAAAAGCAATGGGCCCAATATTGAACCCTGGGGCACGCCCATAGAAATGGGTGCTCTGTAGACTCAGCTTCATTAATAACTACTTTCTGAATCCTCGCAGAAAGATTAGACTGTATCAGAATTTGTCAGAGTCCAGATATCTTTTTAAAAATTGTATGCACACTTTCATGAAGAAGAAGTAGACATTACTTCCAATGTTAGAATATTTTTTCTTACTTATAGACACACAAAATGCAAAGAAGGAATCAAAGTCCAAATATTCTAATTGTATGCATAGTACAACTCTTTTGAATCGTCCAAAATTTTATTGTCCCTACCAGTGCTTATGGATATACTTTTTAGACGCAGAGAAAAATGAGAGAGAAAAATCTTAACATCGTTTAATAAATCTAACAATCAGTCAGTTTTTCAACAGTTTTTTTTTCACAAGCATTTTTTCTGTAATACAATAGGCTCTAAAACCCACCACGAGAAACCAAACAACTGAAGAACTATGTTGCTGGCCGGTGAGGAAATAACAGATATTGGTTATAATAGGGTATTTGACAGTGTCAAAAATAAAGTGCCAATTGTTAGCATGTGTGTTTAGAATGAATATTGGCAGGGGTTTTTACTATTTTTGCAAAAAAATATTCATAATTTTACTAAAAACTAACGGGAAAGATAATAGTTTTCTTATCTATTGTCACGTGACCCAAAACGCTTGGGATTGGCGGAGCCTAAAATGACGTCACACGCAAGTAAACTTCCGGTTAAAGTGACATTACATTGTATTGTTTGACGTTTTAATAACAGTCGTGTGACGTCACACACTAGTAAGAAGCCATATTGTCTAGAGAAACGTTTTCGCGGCAACTTGAAAATGGAGTTTTTGATTGGGTAATTTTTACTGAAATACACAACAGAATGATGAATATCCACTTTTTACGGACTCCATAAACATTAGTCAATAAAGAGAGATCGTTTTCTAAAACTTGTCTTGTAAATTAAATTCAAATATAACTGCTAGATTTCCATGAAATTGTAGTTTTATTTGTAAAAAAACTTGGCATAAGGTCCACTTCATAACGGAGGTCATTCTTTATCTGTTAAATAAATCACTCCAGTATCAAGTAGGTTATCGGATTCGCGTGTTGCACTTTGTTATTCCAAATGTACCTCTATGTTTCTGGAAAATAATTTGCTATGTACTGCTATTTCCTGTGAGATGGAGGGTACTTCCCGAAGATGGCGAATCCAATTTAAGAGGGAAACCAACCGTGCCCTTTCTCTTAAATTCATGCTAATGTAGCGAGAACAAAATGCCGCTAACTCATCAAACTTCATAATGCTCCTAATACCTTGAGATAATGCTTAATTAATTAGCTAATGTTTCTTAGTATAAGTGCATTAATTATTTGTTTTCTCGTCATTAGAGTTCATTGGGCCAGTGCCTGAATGATAGCTGTTGTTGAAATTTTAATAGCTTCGCTGTTATGTTTTAAGATGGTGCCATAAAGCACTTTACAGCTTCAGCGAATGGACGTTGGGAATATAAATTAAATTTGCCACATCACCCGCGGCGTACGAGAACGCTGCTTAGGTAAACTTTATAGTGTTTTAAAATTAAACGTTCATTTGGTTGAGGAAATGAGCATGTTGCCTATCCATATTAGCTACTTTTATAAATGCGGAAGTATTTTTGCTGGTTCCTTACGTTCAATACTTAAACGACTGAACCGCTTTTTATGTACCTTTTCCGTTTGTTCATCATCAAAATTCAAAAATAAATAATTCAATATCGTTTATTCAGTCTAGGCTGTTACAAGCACTTGTGAATGTCGAAAAGCTACGCCATCGGTTCGCAAATCTACGGCGGGAGACCTTGTACTGAGAAGAACCGGCAAGAAACTCAGCAATGGCTGCTTTTTTCTCCCTGTTTTATTTCATACAGTGTCGTCCAATTGAAAGTTGACATCAAACTTGCAAACATGTGTTGAGGTCAACTTCCATCATCATCATCATCAGCCTATTAATGTCCCCACTGCTGGGGCACAGGCCTTCCCTATGGTTGGAATAGGGAGATTGGGCCATGACTACGCGGGCCCAGTGCGGATTGGCGGGTGCTAGCGACTGCAGATGCAGCCGGGACCAACGGCTTAACGTGCCTTGCGAAGCACGGAGGAACTCGAGATAGAAGTTTTTGGTCACCCATCCAATGACCGACCACTGCGAAAGTTCCTTAACTTCAACCATCGCAGCCGCTGGCAAACACTGGCAATCAAAAAGGTCTCACATTTGTGTGACAGTTAGAAGAGGATGCCGTCGACCGCACCCTCTAGCGTAACACCTCGCCCGAGCAGCATATATATCTATATTATGGACATTTTTGATGTATTTCACCTGCGATGCGACGTCACACCAAACGCTGACACTCACACGGTCTCATATTTGGGTGACAGATAGAAGAGAATGACGCTGACCGCACCCTCTAGGGTCACACCTCGCACGAGTAGCATACATATCTATATTATGGATATTTTTGATGTATTTCACCTGCGATGCGACGTCGCCCCAAACGCTGGCAATCAAAAAGGTCTCACAACTGTGTGACAGGTAGTGGAGGATGCCGTCGACCGCCCCCTCGAGCATCACACCTCGCACGAGCAGGTATATAGATATATCTATAGATATACCTATATTATGGATATTTTTGCTGTATTTCACTTGCGATGCGGAGTCGCCCCAAACGCTGGCGCTCAGCAAGGTCTCCCATTTGGGTGACAGATAGAAGAGGATGCCGTCAACCGCACCCTCTAGCTTCACACCTCGCACGAGCAGCATATATTTGTATCTATATATATATATATATATATATATATATTGTGCATATTTTTGATGTATTTCACCTGCGATGCGGCGTCGCCCCAAACGCTGGCGCTCAGCAAGGTCTCCCATTTGGGTGACAGATAGAAGAGGATGCCTTCAGCCGCACCCTCCAGTGTCGCACCTCGCACGAGCAGCGCCGTCAGCATCACGTAGGGGAAGAGGGCGGTAAAGTACACGACCTTGCCGGCCGATTGTATACCCTAAAATGAAATCGGGACTTAAATCTTGTAAAAACCAACCTTATATTCTACTAATCCTACGATAATAATATGAATGAGAAACTGTCTATCTTTACGTGTATGTTTAACTCGAAATAAATGGGATTCTGATGGATTCTTAAAAAACGATACGATAACGCGGACGAGGTCACGGGCGGCCGCTAGTTATTAAATATTTCCAACAGTCACATCAATTAAGAGCACATTTTTTTGCAAAAAATGCAATTTTTGAGCGCCTCGTTTTACCCATTTCGAATAGATTTTGACTATTTCCAATTAGACCGTGGTCGATAATTTTTGAAACCAAAAAAAAATATAGTAGGATGAAACCCATTAGAAAAGGTAGAGAATATAACAAAAATGAAAGGAAAAATAAATTACGGGCGATCTGAGGTCGGGAAGGGGGAGGGGGTGAGTTTTTAAGGGTAAAAAATGGTTAATCTCGATTTCCGGTAAAACTGCAAGTCCTATGAAAAAAAGTTAAATGGCAAAGTTGTAGGTAATAAACAGATCTACAACTTTTGTATCGACACTTTTTTCACATAACCTCAAAATTTATGTGAAAAATGCGAATAACCGAGTTTTTGGTTTTTGATTTTTATTTTTTGCAAAATAAAATATTTTTTCACGAAATTTGGTGAAAACTTACCATAACACTTAATTTTCAATCGAAAACTCTCACGTCAAAATATCTACTTTTTAAAAAAGTTGGGGTGTTTTTTGTTTGTTGAAATCTCTACTTTCTGATGGTATAAATAAAATATACACTACTATGATAAATGTTCTCAGAAAATGCAAATTAATAATGAAAAAAACTCGAATCCGAAAATCCTATTTTAGTCTCCGTGAGTTTTCCCAAAAACCAATGCAGGTTTTCCCGTATTTTGATATTGAATTAAATAGAATTACTATCAAAAACTTTTATATAACTATTTTACCATTATTGAACTACTAAAATATTTATATTTTTTTTATAATTAGTTCGTTAATTATTATTTTATAAGACTCGAAACATCACCCGTAAAATGCAATATTACTAGTGCAAATCTACCTACGCGCCGATCAGTACGGCAGCGGCGCAATTTTGTAAAAGGGCTCTTAAACTAGTTCCAAAGTAAGCACTGTAAGGTTTCTGTTAACTTTATATTTCTTTTACTGAAATATAATAAAGTTACACAAATGTATTTCTAACCTTTACCTTAGTATCCTAAGGTACAAAAAGTTTAAAGTATGGTTAATATACTTTGTTAGATATGTATATACATGTCATGACATAGGTCGTTATTAATGCTCGTATTTATTTTAGAAACATTTGCCCCACTGGGAAACAAACCCAATACCTCTAAGAACATGACACTGAAAACCTGTTGTATATCCTACTCCATCAACAAAGTCGTTATACATAACTGCACTTAACTCTTGTCACGCGACAGAGTGAAACAAAATAATTCATTAAGGTGGAATTAGACGGTTCATCAAATTCATTTTTGCAATGATTTGTGAATGATGAACATGAAATGCGTTGTTTCTATAGACGTTTTCACTTTTGATGAAAGCTAATAATATTCTATTCACTGTGGAATTCTCGCGTGAATATTAGAGTCTGCGCGAAAAGAGAATGGGATTTAGATTGGAGGGCGCTGTAGTGCTTTTCTATCGTATTTGTAAGGTTTTACCCCTTTTAGACATGATTAAATACAAACAACCGCAAGAAATGACAACAACAAACAAATCCGTATCAATATAAAACTTTGACGTTTTACAGATTGCTGGGTTTGATTCCCAAATAAAAATCTTAATGTTAGTTCCATTTTTCGCCACGCCCATTCTTTTTCTGCACAGAGTCTATCAGTATCGAGTTATTTAATTAAATAATAAATAAAGATACATTAATATGTAAGAAATGAACTGTAAATGAGTTATTGCTGTTTAGATGATGCATGATCGATGCTAGCGAAAACAATCGGGAGCCGGAAGCTTTCATCGCGAAGGCACATTCCGGTGAACGTCAATTTAGACATTACATTTTCGGTTTTTCATTGATGAAGCATCGAAAATGAATGTAAAAATGAACCGTCTAATACCAGCTTTAGCAACAATTCAAAAGAAACAGGTTGTCTACTTTGTTGCTTACTTTGGAGATAGATCAATATTAGTAAGAGTTATATATATTTATTATTATTATTTGTTATCCTACGCTAGTATAGATTAATCACTAACCTTAATCACACACAGGAAAGCCAGCAACCAGCACAGGAACAGAGTGCCGACAATATGCCATTGAATACTTCCCCAATTTGTCCAGGACGCGTCACCTCTTCCAAGGACGCGTTCGCTAAAATAAATTTTAATAAAATAAATTTTATTATAATGTCATGTCAGCCATACGACGCCCACTGTTGAGCATAGGCCTCCCTCTAGGATCTCCACACCGATCGGTCCTGCCCCACTCGCGTCCATCGGCTTCCCGCGACCTTCACAAGATCGTCGGTCCACCTTGTAGGGGGCCTGCCCACTGAGCGTCGTCCGGTGCGTGGTCGCCATTCCAGAACCTTTCCGCCCCAACGGCCATCGGTTCTTCTTGCTACGTGTCCTGCCCACTGCTCACTTCAGCAGAGCAATCGTTCTAGCGATATCGGTTACTTTGGTTCTCCTACGGATTTCCTCATTTCTGATTCTATCGCGTAGGGAAACACCGAGCATCGCTCTCTCCATTGCTCGCTGTGTAACCTAAAGCCCTCTTATGAGACCCACAGAAATGGAGCACGATTTGCTTCCGTATGTCATCACTGGCAACACACACTGGTCAAAGACTTTTGTCTTGAGACACTAAGGTAATTTCAACGCGAAGATTTACTGTAGCTTCCCCAACGCTGCGCTTCCGAGCTGGATACGTTGAGAGATGCCTTTTTAAAAGTTGGGCTTACCTAAATGGACTCTCTGTCACAGGTAAACGTAATGGTCGACAACTTGCCTTGAGTCTTCTTATGAGACCCGCACTAAAAATTTTATTATAGGTAATGCCACGTCAAATACCTAGTAAATGTGTAAAATTTTGTCATTTTTTTTTATATATAGGATTTTACTATAGTCAAGCATTTGCTTCCACCTGTGACTTCGTCCGAGTTAATTTTATGGCCGCGCAAAGTTAGTGAAATGAAATGAAAAGTCATTTATTCAGTCTAGGTTGTTACAAGCACTTGTGAAGGTCAATAAGCTACGCCATCGGTTCGCAAAACTACGGCGGGAGACCTTGTACTGAGAAGAACCGGCAAGAAACTCAGCAAGGGCTGTTTTTTTCTCCCTGTATTGTTATATACAGAGTTGTCAAGTTGAAAAATTACTTCAGAGATACGTCTGAAGTCACCTTCCACTACGTCGTCATTTAGAATATATATATACAGTTACAAGAAATTTTATAGTTAACATTATATTTAGTATATAAGAAGCGGCATTAGATAGGTTAATATTACTGTTATGAAATATGACTAATACCCATTAAATTACAAATAATAAGGAACACTATGTCCATGCATTACGATCATTTAAACCATCAAATTATTTAAATCAAAGTAAACTAATCTTGCCGTTTCTACATCAGTTAAGAGTCTTATTTTTTTAACAGCGAAAGCTGCAGAGCTCAATCTACTTGGCAAGGCATCAATATGAGGATCCCATAGTGCTACGTTACTTTGATCTGCTATAAGATCAAAGTATGTGTCAATACAAAATCATATCATCTTCATCATAATAATAGAAAAGCCTGCTGGAACGTTTGGAACAGTTTAAACCCAAGCATTATTGTCTGAAATATAATCAGACACCTTATAATAATAGGCTTTATTAATAAGAACTTTTTTAATAAACTTACTTATGTCTAAAGAAAAGTTTACTAGAAAAAAATCCACGGGAAACAGGCAGCTAACTATAATTGCTATTTCTTCTTTCAAATGTTTAATACTTGAAAAAGTATTCATTTGACATTGTGGGTTACCTACAATGCGAAGAGATGGCGCTGCCTTGCAGCTTAAGGCTAGGAAAATTTCGACGCGGCGAATAGGGCCGTGGTAGCATAATGGTGAGTGCTTTCGCCCGGATTGCGAAGGATGAGGGTTCGAGTCCTGTCCGCTGCCTGGACGGCGTGGATTTTTTTCTAGTAAACTTTTCTTTAGACTTAAACATCTAGCAGTTAAATGCTTAAAAAATAAATAAAAACATAAACTTACTTATAGTATTCCTCAGAAGCTAGGATCCTCGTGACATTAGTGTACCATGTCACCACGCGGTCGGGCCCATCGGCGCAGTGCGTTTCATTGAGCGATTGGAACCCTGTCATCTCACAGATTGTTCCGATACTTATGCAACTTTTTAAGTAATAAGTTTTAGTTTCGCTTCCAGTGAAGTTTTGACTCCTACAATTTCGATCGTATTCTCCGCTGTAACAATCTGAATAACATGTGTTTTTAGATTTATTTATTATTTTATGTTTTCAACACTCACACCAATTAGTCTAGCTCCAAAGTAAGCACTGTAGGCTTGTGTTATAGGATACTAGGGTAACGGATAGAATACATATACTGATACATATGTATTTATGTAGAAATAAATATGAAATATCCATGACTGGAGTACATATGCTCGTATTCATCACACAAACATCGGGATTCGAACCCGGGATCTCTGAAGTTGGTGAAACCATGAAATATACCACTCGGCCACGGAGGTCCATGTCGAGGAGGTTATTAGATTTGTAATAGAAGTAGTGCAAGTGGGGGTCAGTGTTACAATGGCACAGTGTTACATAGGGAATATCTCTATAGTTTAGCTGGCCATTTGGCGACATTTGAAACCAATAAAACACGCCCAAGCAGACCAGATAAATATAAAAATGGAACATACACTGCTCTACGTCAATATAGTTGTTTATAATAAACCCAAACAGTGATGGAATTTAAAGCCAACTATAGAACTCACTGCTGCTCTTAATACAGATTTATCTTATAATTTAGATTAGGCTCAGTGTGACTATGTCAGAAAACCCTTATACCTAAGAATGTTTTCACTATTACCTACTTTATAAGTTAAAAACTATGTACTGAGTAACTTAAAATATTGTACACTTTTTGGCAAAATAAAAGAATATATTATTATTAAAGAAACATTAAAATAGGCATTGATGTCGACCTTTCTAAAGGCAAAAGGAAAGAACAACATTTTGTCTTCATTTTAGATATTATTTACACCTTAGACAACTTACAAAAAAAACTTAGAAATAACTATGACGAATTGTAGTGAACATAAAATAAACTCACGTAAACTGTTGAATGCATTATCGCAAGAACCCCAATCGAGATTTCCGGCGATGGAGACGATCGTGTAGAAGAGTATCCACGCCACGATGATCATGTAGTAGATGGAGATGATGCTTATGACGACCAGGGTGCAGTACCCGAGGCCGCTGAAGAACGGTGAGATTGCTGAGAAGGCCTGCAATGGCCCGATGCCCGAATACTGTCCGATGTACAGTTCCAAAAAGAAAATTGGCAATCCAATGAAGACCAACATCAAAAAGAATGGTATTAAAAATGCACCTGAAACAAACGCAATTACTGTTGTTATTAACAATAGGTAACTTTATTTCTTTTCGTTTATTGATTTTGCAAGTTAGATGTAAATAAAATAATAACCAACTTCAATATAATAAATAAATAATAAAACAAGAGTAGATAAAAAAAAATCTGGATTATTATTATTGTAATACAAAACATCAAATCAAATATCTCTTTTAGAGATAAGCCCACCTTTGCTTACAATGTATTTGACTATATGTTTTAAACTATATGATGCAATATAGAGTATAATAATAATATCTATCTATATTAAAATAATATAAATTTAGTTTAAGTAAAAACCCATAAAGACCAATAACAAGTTCAGTAGTCTACAATCTTGTTAAGCAAGGAACAAAGCTACTTTAATAGTCGGGACCCATTATTGGGAAAATTTAATCCATTTTAGAATACCCAATGGCTCTGAACTTATCCCAAACAAGTCATCGATATAATTCAAAATATTGAGGTGTTTAGTTTATACAGTTTTCAATACTATTAGAACTTCAAAAAGATTATCTGGGGGATAGAATCAAATAGAATATTATTAGGAAACAATTTATTTTGTATCATTTCGAACGGTTCGTGATTAATTATTTATATTACAGATGCTTTTCATTTAGCTACATTTTTAAATGAAATATCTAGTATCTACTTACCACCACCATTTCTGTAGCAAAGGTATGGAAATCGCCAAACGTTGCCTAACCCAACTGCGTACCCCAAGCACGCGAGTATGAATTCCACGGGACTTCCCCAAGTCGCCCTCTCTGGGACACCAGAAGATTCATTTGTTGCGCCATTACCTGTCAGCTTACCGTTTGTCTCCCGCTGTAGCGTTAAAAACATAACTATCAATAAAAAAGTTAAGTTTCATTTCAAATTTAAGATCAAAATATCTAGCAGGTAAAAAAAGAGAACCCTTGCATCAAATTTCTTAAAACTAATTTAAAAGCTATTCATATACAGTTTGTCTATAAAGTCGTGACATTAATGTTTGAGGAACTAACATTATTCATGTGTCTGGCAACACCAAACTTATGTACATCAGCTGTCATCGAGTTTCAGTTGTGGAACAGTTTTCCTTTTGTATTTTTTATTGTTTGGATTAAACTGTAATAAATTAAGACGAAACTACGCAGAAAGGTATAAAAATGAGTAAAGTAAATCGGAGTGGCAAACGGGAACTGATTTTTAAAGTTTTCCAGCGATGTTTCGAAGACTACCAAGCTGGACGAATTTTGTGGTATTTGGACGATGTTTATGGGCAAACAGCATCTATGACGGGTATGTAATCGTGTAACTATTTGTTTGTAATCTGCCTGAAGTTACAAATTTCTCAATTTACGATTTTGAGACCAAAAAAGGCATTGTTTACATTGCACATTTTTAGGTTAGATTGACATTGTAAATAGGTAATATTGTAGTACGACCATTTCTTTGATACCTACGTTATTATGGTTCAACTCGGTCAGGTTTTCTACCAATTTTAAATTAATTGCTTCATGTCAATAGGTTATGGTTTCTATTCCGTTACATATTTTTTTACTTTTTTTTCAGGAAAATCAGAGAGTTGGATAGTCAACGAAGGTTTTAAGAATGATGGAAAGTTTGAAACTCCTGGGAAAATCGGCAAGGCCGACCAAAGAAAGAAATGGTCACATAAAGAACCATGGCCAGATGCTTTTAGTGAAGATACCTATCACTAATTTTACTAACTGCACATTTACAAATTGTTTCTCTAAATAAACTTTTTATATACTATAAAATGATTTTTAGTATTATTTTCTTAACAAGTGTGTTAAAAAACGGCGTATGATGATACTTGTGTGTATTGATGATTACCTAACGGCTCTGGTCTCGATGGCACCTCAGCGGTAATCACCAACATTACACACTTTTACACTATAAAGTACTATTTTATCTATAATAATTTTATTCTGATTCAATTAAATATGCTTGGCTAAACTTTTTATAAGCATAGGTACCTACTATATATAAAACAGAAACAAAATACTACTGTATAGTGTGTCTTATTAATTACCTATTTTACTTGAATGAACTGCTAGTATCAAAATCATTTTGGTCCGACTGTATAGGGTTGCTACATGCATACTAGTGGCGCCATCATTTAATGTCACGACTTTTTAGACAAACTGTACCTCATAATATCTCTATTTTACTTTTGAACAATTGACAAAGGTGTCTTCAACGGGACTTATAGTCCAAGAACACAGGACCGACAGACCTTACTTATTTTCTGATAGACAAAATATGGATAATTAATGCGCACAATGGTATATAAAACACAAGTTAGCAATTAGCTAACTTATGCTGTGGGCCAATGCTCATGTATCAGGTATGACGGGTACATAAAAAAATAACCCACTTTACTTGTTAGTAAAGTGCTGTAGCCCGAGGACTGATTCTTACGAGTGGTATAGAGAATATTGTAAACAATTTGAAATTTATGTATAATGCCAGACATCTTCTATCGGCAGTATTTATTGTCAGACACTTTATATATAAAAAGTAAATAAAAAAACCTTCGTTTTTTTTGATAATTAGATAAAACAAAAATATTTATTAATTATTAAAGGGTTACACACATTTATTATCGATAACTTTAATGTAGCTGTATTTGTATTAATTAAAAAGGCACTAAATTATCATGAGCGCACCCTTTCTCACAGTGGTACTTTAAATAAGTTTAGGAAAGTTTTGGCCATTACGGTTTGTCTAGCAGCTTACAAATTATAATAGCTCTCATAATATCATAGATAAATATCAGTACATACCTATACCATATATCAGGACTGTATGTTTGTGTTTTTTGCTTCGGACATTTGAAGTGTCTCGCAATAAGTACTGCTGACAAAGTGTGTCTAGCAGTATATATCAAAAATTGTTTACAATATTCTCTACAACATACGTAAAAATAAGTCTCCTGACTGTTAGTAAAGTGAATAAATTTTTTATCTGTGAATTGACCAACAGCACAAGAATACTACTCGATTATCCATCAGATCATCATATTTTGTCTATCAGAAAATAAATGAAGATTGACGGCCTTGGGATCTTACTACAAGCCTTAATTGGATTAAAAATGTTGGTGCAAGTGGACCTAAATGTAAAATTTAATGTCTTGAATAAACTAAAATGTCTATTCTTTCTCGTTAAGGGTAATAAAAAGAGTATTTGACTTTTCGAGTTTGTCACAGTTATACTAACATAAGTACAAATAACATCTGAGGATTAAATAAAGATAAAATTGTTGCACATATTATTGTCTGTATATTTTTATGATATCACAAGTCTCTATGCTAACAATGATTAACACATACGGAAGTAGTATTTTGATATATTGTTTTAAACTTTCATAGTCACTAACATTATAGTAATATAAGTTATTTACGGGGATGTTACCATGTACCTTGTTTTTAGCGAGTTTCCGATATTTCGGCACTGTACCCTTAGTACGAGTGCGAGCTCCCGAAAACTATCATAGTTTTCGTAATTGTAAAACTCGTAATAAGGGTACTGTTGCAAGCGCCATGATCACGATACAAAATAAATTTATTTTTGTTATACAATCTATTAGAAAAAGTAGAAGTTGCATATCATCATAAAAATGCCTTTTTTTATGATAATATCTCCAATAGAAAGTTATACGTCGCAATAATCGCCAATAAATTAATTACTAAACTTTTCTTATTCGAATCAGGCGGTGCACATAAAGTTGATCCCTTCAAACAAGGGAATAATCGTTGTGATTTAAATGTAAATTCGTCGGGCTTGTGACGAGGACCAGAAAGGAGTCGGCGAGTTTGGTTCGATTCCCTATTCAAATAATATTATGCAGAAGTTCGTCTTCCCAACTTGCAGACTGGAGGGCAAGTTCTTACCCACATACTTTATGTTTATGAGTCGGCACAGCAACACGAATGGAGTCGCTGGTTAATTTTAATAAACGAGGTTCTAAAATTTTAATTATTATTTTCACCATCATCATCAGCCTATTTATGTTCCCACTGCTGGAGCACAAGACTTCCCTATGGATGGAATAGGGAGATTGGGCAATGACCCACCGCGGGCCCAGAGCGGATTGGTGGGTGCTAACGACTGCAGATGCAGCCGGGACCAACGGCTTAACGTGCCTTCCGAAGCACGGAGGACTCGAGATAGTAAATTTTTTGGTCACCCATCCAATGACCGACCATTGCGAAAGTTGCTTGACTTCAACGATTGCAGCCGAACGCGCTAACCACTTGCGGCATCGAGCTCCTCATTATTATTTTATTCGATCTTATTTGTTTTATCTATTTAATGTTTTAAAGAGATTAATAAAAAGCATATGAAATTTTTAGTTGAACGTCGCTTCTATATGAGACTGTGATTTTTCGCTATGTCTCTGCCATTTTATATTTGCTAATTCAATTCACGATTTATCGTTGTTTTGTTGGTTTACTCTTAGTCAAATTCTGATGATATCTTTGCATACAAGATCTGCTTAGTATGGTAATTATTGGCTCATTGAATTATAATCTTAAGTGTTTTAGATTTGTTTCCTTTTGGTTATTTAAATTTTGCTTTAGTGTATTATAAAATGTACAACGTACCATTACATTTTGTTACGTGTGATTCGTCATTTAAGGACTTAAGCTAAGCTTTATTTTCTCTTTTTTTTATTGGTCCTAGTTGACAGTGTAATATAACGGTTTTGTAAATATTAGTATCGATTCAAGCATGATTCTCTAAACTTAAAACTAAATTTAACATCAGTCTCTCCTTTTCATTCTGTATAGAGAATGACAAGGATACACTATTGCCAAATTTAAGTTTAGGTTTAGAGAATTTTGACAGTATCGACACCATTGTTTTAAATACTTGTCTGTGGTAATGACATTTCTATTCTTCACCAGAGCTAAAATATCATGGTATGGGAAAAACTAAAGCACTATACAAAAGAGATATTTTATTTGGTACTAATTTCGACATTATATTTTTAGAGAGATCTCATTCGCCTTTCAGCCAGCTACATCTTGTAAACCATAATAGCTGTACAGTAAAATCTTCACATTGTCGTAGAAAAAAAAATTAAGAATCCATTTTTCTCCAACTTAACAGTCGCTGTATTTTAAAATTTTTTTGCCTTTCACGAAGGTAAGCGCGTGCGGTCTGTATTTAATTATTGAATTTGAGCCGTTGGTCTCGGCTACATCTGCAGTTGGAAGCTTTTAGCCAGTTTTTTTATAACCTACTCCATCCCTTTCATTGTCCTGCACATGTAGTCTTCTTTTGCAGTGCTACGAGACAGAGTTGGATATAACTTCGCACTGATTTCTATGAACATAAGGGGTGCACCTGCGCCCTCTGCAGGCAAAGTTTTAAATTGCTTCAGAGCACCGCAACTGTTAGTGAGAATATAACTGCAGTCCAGGTGGGAACTCCTGCATAACTCCTTGTCCTTGGTTGGCTATTGTTTTGTTAGCTGAAGGCCTGTGGCGAGCAAATTTTGAACTGTATAGGTAAATGCTTAAAGAGATTTCGATGTGAAATAAATTGGACATGCGTTTGTTGTTATCTATAATGCAACTTAAAATTCAAAATTCAATAATATCTCGTACAAGCACTTGTGAATATCGAAAAGTTACGCCATCGGTTCGCAAATCCACGGCGATATAAATAATTATATTTATATAGAAATAAATATTAAACATCCATGACTGGAGTACAAATACTCGTATTTATCACACAAACATCTACAACACACCGGGATTCGAACCCAGGACCTCTCGAGTCGGCGACACCATGAAACCCGGCGTAAAAACCACTCGACCACGGAGGTTGTCAACAAATTCGTCGAAAATTTGACAACTGTATATAATTCACGGAGAAAAAAACAGCCCTTGTTGAGTTTCTTGCTAGTTCCTGTCAGTACAAGGTCTCCCGCCGTAGATTTGCGAAACTATAGCGTAGCTTTTCGACATTCACAACTGCTTGTAACAGCCTAGACTGAATAAACGCTATCGCATTTGAATATAGTTTACGACGTAAACAATTATTGTTGTTTACTTAAAACAAGTTGAATTTGCGAGCATTGAATTGGGTCACACTTAATATTTTTTTTGAAACTAGCTATGTTTAATATTCTTTCATTTGATTCCATTAGATATTTTCATGTTCATATTTTAAAAGTAGACATATTTTTTTATTTATTATGTTAGGTATAATAAATATTTCCAACACTCACACCAATTAGCCTAGCCCCAAAGTAAGCACTGTAAGGCTTGTGTTATGGGATACTAGGGTAACGGATGCAATACATATACTGATACATATATAAGTATATTTATATAGAAATACATATTAAACATCCGTGACTGGAGTACAAATGCTGGTATTCGTCACACAAACATCTGCCCCCACCGGGATTCGAACCTGGGACCTCTCGAGTAGGCGACACCATGAAACCCGGCATACAAACCCCTCGACCAAGGAGGTCGTCAAAGGTATGGTAAGGCATTTAGAAAACATCATTCATAATTCTATTTACACAAAATAGAAAAATTACAAGGATTTTTATTAACCGACCCATATTTTGCACTTGAGTGTATTTAATTAATAACGTCCTTTATATTGAGCGATAAGTTAATTATATAGAACGATTTTTGGAGCGTTATCTCTCCTTTTTTTTATCAAAAAAAGAATGTTTTATCATGCAAAGATTATACCTAATTTAAATCAATTGTTGAATTCATTATATTTTAATTACATTTACCTATTGGTTTTTAACGTTTTTATCGTTATCTGTTGAGGGTGCCTAAGGTAGTTTAGTTAATTTTCTTATTTTTATGTTAAATTTTTGAATTTAGTAACACTTTTGTAGTTATAGGTATTCAATGAGGGAGTTTAAAATATTAGCTTATTTATGAATAAACAGTTCAAAATGCATTTAAATTTTAGAATATTATTATATTGGAAGAATATTAACTTATTGACAAACCGACATTTAAGCGTAATTATGTAGGTATATACTCAAATTATTGTTGTTATTTCTTTGTTGTTGCAAAGATTACTTTTAACAACAAAGAAAGTGCATAAAGAAAGTGCTTTTCACTCCTATCACATTTTTATATGCATGTTGCTTTCAAAATAATGAAGCAGATCTTATTGCGATGACAAAACAAACATTATCAGTTCTAAAAAAATAAAAAAAAACATAATTATCAGTTCTGTTGATGTTGATATCGGTATTTAAAAAAAAACATCAAACTTTTTATATTTTTTTAAATAGAAATTACATATATTTGTGGATGATTAAAAATATTAGTAATACATATTTTATAAAATATATTCACAGGTAAATAATAGATTCAAATCGCAGTACGTAATAAAAGTAAATATTATTTTTTATTCGTTTCTTAGTTTGTCACGCACATCACTCATTAAATAAAACTAGTTTTTACGGGTTAATGCACGAAACTTTATTAATTTATTGACGTTTCGTAGCCTTTAGCCTACCTTCGAAAGGTAGCTCGATAAATTAAATAAAAGTTTAATTCTGACGGCGTAGCCTGTAAAAGCTACGAAACGTCAATAAATAAATAAAGTTTCGTGCATTAACCCGTAAAAACTAGTTTTATTCTTTTATTTATATTAATTTTAAACAATAAATTCAAATCACAAAACGTTTAAACTTGCGTCATAATTTTTACCCAAACAAAAATAAAATATCATACATTTACCTACTTAAATAGAAAAATACGCGCTCCGTAATTCGTTTAAAATATAAATTAAAAATCTGTACTCGCCTTGCTCAAAGAGCTTTTTCGACTAGCCATTGCAAGGAACTGGTCAAGAAGTCAGTAACACAATTTTTATGACACAACATATGCACACAACTCCGACACACAGATCATGTGGAATACGACACTCATACGTGAATGCACACAGCGGTGTAGGAAAAAAATACTTGTACTAAACATTATCTGATCGATATGACTTCTGCTTGTTCGTCCATTATCAAGCAGATAAGCATAAACCGTCCTTAATTCTTGATACCGATCGACTATCGATTGGTTAATCAAGTGGACAAAACAGTTTGGGTAATAATGAGAGATCCGATAAATTTTAGTGATAAACTCAAACTCAAACTCATTTATTCAGTCTAGGCTGTTACAAGCTCTTGTGAAAGTCAAACGCTACGCCATCGGTTCGTAAATCTACGCCGGGAGACCTTGTACTGAGAAGAACCGGCAAGAAACTCAGCAAGGGTTATTTTTTTCTCCCTGTTTTGTTTCATACAGTGTCGTCAATTGAAAGATGACATCAAAAACTAAAAACATGTGTTAATGTCATATTTTATGACATTAATATTATTAATTAACAATAAGTTAAGTATAACTAAAAATTTTCAACCAAATTAGCAAAGTAAAACGACTTAGTCTATTACATTAAGCCCAAGGTGCCTTATCATTTATAAAATCTTTAACTGTATAGTAACCTTTCTTAGGGAGACAAGTTTTTATACGCACTTTAAACTTATTAAAAGGTAAATTTATTATTTCTTTTGGTATTTTATTATAGTAACATACACCTTGACCCACAAATGAACCAAGAACCTTTTGAGTCTCAACGGTACGATATTATGAATACAAGAGTGTGGAAGTCTGTGTAAACATTTTCGTGAATAACGGAATTGAACAATCGCTGCAACATGTTACGTGCATTATATAGTTTTAAACTTTCATGGTCACTAACATTAACAGCCTACCCGCAATTACTTCAGTTACTCCGTGATCATGGCGCTTGCAACAGTACCGAAATATCGGAAACTCGCTAAAAACAAGCAAGTAAATGAAATATGTATATGTATATTCATGTATAAATTGTACACACATATATGTTCCGCTTCAGTCGTGTGGTCATAAGCAAACTCCTTTTTTTCAATTACCTTTTTTTATACGCTTTAAGAGGCACACCGCCGAACGGACCTCACACCTGTATCCCGCAAGCCTTACGAGCCCCAGCAGTGGCCGCCCACTGACGACCCCGTAACCCTTACGGGCGCTTTACGGCATAATATCCGCTAAAAACCCTGCGAGTACCCTCTAAGTTGTTTAGCGCGAAGCCGCGGGATCCCCGTTTAAGGCTTCATCCGCGTCTCCGCACCTAGCAGCCTCCCGGCCTTGGCGAGGCGCCGCGGCAGGGGTCTCCCGGGGTATCGCGGGGACCCCGCAGACGTGCGCAGGTAGGCCCGCGCGTGGGGGCTGAGTACGCGGCCTAGTGCCCACCGTACCGCCCCCCGTCCGCTGCGGAGGGCTACTTGGGCGTGCCCGTGTAGCTCCCTCCGCTTTTTTCAATTACCTGGGAATAATTCCGATGTGATTGCATTCGAGTCATCTTTATCTGTTTAGTAATCATTGAGTAGGTACTCAGTTAACGTAAATATATATATTTCCTTCTTTTCTGGGGTTCCCTACGCCAACGGTAAAAACGGAACCCTATTGCTGTCACTCTATCGCCTGAGTATCTGGCCGTATGCCACGGGTCTCTAGATCGTAAACGGAATGAATTACAGAATTGAAATTTTGGTATTTTATGAAAAATGGCTTGCCCAAAGCCGGATATTTAGTTGAAAATTCAATTAAATTATTTTGCATACATGAAAAGGAGACCAGTTTTTTTCTTTTTTATTTATTTCAGTTACACATGCCGGCTTACAGGAAAATCCAAAACGCTTGCAAGTCATACATAAAAACATTTATATTCATAGCAGGTATTAATTTCAATTTAAGAAAATTAAGAAAAAGAGAGAGAAAAAACTAATGTCAAATTAGATAAGTACGCACATCCATTGTAATATTATTAGTTAATGTTATAATAAAATAAATAACTAAGTCAAATCAATAAAACAATTAATAACGTAATATAATTCCAAGAATTAAAAAAAATATTAATTATCTCACCATGTAACATCATTGTCTAGAGTTCGTTGAGTAGAATATAAATGTTACTAGCAAACCAGTGAACCAAATGTTTACCAAAACCTGATTTAAAAAATGTATTTAATTAATTGAGAAGTTCGGAGATTTTGTGTGGTTTCGTTTGAAATTATTTAGTTAAAAAAAATAAAAAAAAATTAACCTTTAAATAGTTAATTAAAATTGTGATAATTACAAAATAGAAATCACGTGATTTCTCGAAAACCGGAAGTGCTACGTTACTCAAATCCGGTTTGTAGTCTTATCAGACTATTCTTAACTTATAACTTAAACATTCTCTTTATCTATCTCTTACGGTTTGGCCGCTGAAACAGCACCACAGACAGACGGACGGACGTACTTGTCTAATAGATAAGAGATTAATATATAGACTAGGGGGCCATTCGTCTAACAGGATTGCTTTGAAAAACGCTATCGCTTACGATTTCATTTTGTTATTTCTGACCACCGAAGGTTTTTAAATACCTCACGCTCATTTTCTTTAATATTGTTATTAACAACGCAAAAGAAAAACAAATAGCGTTTTCCAAAGCAATCCCTTTAGGCGAATGACCCCCTGTTTTGTTGTGGGGTCTAGCTCAAATTAAAAGAATATGAGATTGAAGTATATGATGGATACGCCACATGGTATATTTAAACAAAAAATATTGAAAATGCCTCCAAATGCACTAAGTAAGTTCTAACAAGAACAAGTAAATTTTTCCCATCGCGGTTTATTGCGATGTCTAGCTCGGAAATCTAGTAGGCAGCTTCAATAACTTCTAATAGTGTAATTATTCACTTAAAAAATAACTAATTAAATTATAATAAAATAATATTGAGGAGTTCAGGTGGTATGCGCGTTCGGCTGCGATCGTGTGTGAAGTGAAGCAACTTTCGCAGTGGTCGGTTCAATCTGCACTGCGCCCGCGTGATGGGTCATGGCCCAATCTCCCTATCCCATTCATAGGGAAGTCCTGTGCCCCAGCAGTGGGGACATTAGTAGGCTGATGATGATGATGATGATGAAAATAATATTAAAGCGGGCTCCCAAACAACAGACAGTATTATTTTATCGTTTTTAGCTTGATATTATAATAAAGTGTATACTAATATTGCATAGATAGTACAATGCGCGTAATTTTTATGTAAACATGCAGACATTAGGTAATTAGTTTCAAGATTATCGTCCTTCGAACAATCTTTAACCTATTTCATAAAAGAGAAGGTTCTCGCAATACTTCAACACTTGTTCTAAATAGGTATTATGTATTGTGTGTGCTTGTGTGCTGTGCTTCAACTCAGATGTTTTTTTGAAATGTTACTTTGTTCGGATGGGATGTAAATGGACAAATCCCATGGAAACGATGAAACGGCAATGAATCATATATATGATATATAGGCGTTTTACACGGGAAGCCTATGGTGCAGTTATTCTAAGAGATCACTTAACGCTCTCCGCGTACAATATAATAATGCGTTTAGGATGCTGTTGGGTTTGCCACGATTCTGTAGTCTCTGGTATGTTTGCCTCGGAGCGCACTGACGGGTTTCACGCATGCATGCGCAAAAAAATAGCTTCATTGCTGAGCATAATATGAGCAAGCTCAAACACCATCATATAGTTGCTTTATCAAGCATTGTGTGAGGGTGATACATAAAGAAGAATCATGTTGTACTGTCTTAATCTATTATTTCTAAAACATTACTACTAATATAGAATAAGTCTACTAACAAAAATGGATCACATGTTGGGGGGGGGGGGGGGGCAGCATGCGTGCGCAGCTCTGCCTGACGAGCATAAAATTTGGAGGGTAACTCGGTGAAAGCTGAAACGCTACGAGAGTCACGAGCGTCACACGCGACAATATACGTATGTATGAGTGATTCATGCACTTCTCCATTCCCGTATACCTTATGCACCTGTGCAAATGTAAGGTAATTTAAGAAAACAAGGACACATGTGTGGTCCATGCACACTAATTTTTTATTGCCTTACGCACACAATTCCGGAATTTGTGGATCGATTTTGATATTTTTTTTTATTGATCCATTTTGATTGTTAAATATCTATTGATATGAAAATCACTTTAACTACTTGTGGGCCGATACAAAACGCCGCCATACGTCACTCGCGCAATTCCCCACCCCTATCTCCCTTAGTGTCGCCGCACACGGGCCACACGCCACAGCCACAAACGTCGCCACGAGAAGCTAGAAGCGGCTACCTACTAAAGTGGCTGAAGCGCGCGACAGCGGCCGACTAAGGTAAGTGTCGCCGTACACGGGCCACCGACCGCAACCACAAAACGCCGCCACCGGCATATTTCTTGTAGTTTTCATACACTTTATATGGACTCGCCACACACGGTACGCCGGTGGTGCACACGCTACAAATCATCGTTGCTCGCTTCCTGTGGCCCGCACCGGCCACTTAATGCGCCGATACAAAACGCCGCCACACGTCACTCGCGCGATTCCCCACCCCTCTCTCCCTTACCTTAGTCGGCCGCTGTCGCGCGCTTCAGCTACTTTAGTAGCCTTCTAGCTTCTCGTGGCGGCGTTTGTGGCTGTGGCGTGTGGCCCGTGTGCGGCGACAATTAGGGGCTTTGATAAAATTATTTATTCCAATACGATAAAACGATACGCAATCATAAATTAGTATTTGAATAATCTTAAATACTACGCATGTATAAAATGTCAGGGTTTAAGAGTAAAGTTAGGTTATTAGATACGTTTTTTATCTAAATTCTAATAAATAATGGTAGGTATAAACATTATTTGATTAGTCTTTTATCGAATTTTATTTAGGGTTATTTTGGCACTGATGTGAAACGATTCTTTCGAGGTACTCGAAGTAGTAAGATTTGGTTACCCATCCTAAGCTCATCCATTGTAAAAGTATCTTAAGTTCAAAGATGTTAGCATTGGCACCTGGCATTTGTAATGGAGGATGAGGAGCTCGATGGCGCAAGTGGTTAGCGCGTTCCGCAGCGATCGTTGAATTTAAGCAACTTTCGCAGTGGTCGGTCATTGGATGGGTGACCGAAAATTTACTATCTCGACCTCCTCTGTGCTTCGGAAGGCACGTTAAGCTGTTGGTCCCGGCTGCATCTGCAGTCGTTAGCAC